CCAACAAACACCACGCTCCGGTTTCTAATGTGAGCCGTAGTTTAGCTGTGCATTATATTTGTGTCAAAGCTTTAGCTCTTTGTTGTACACGCGCTTTTTGGCGCTTCGCTGTCGGTCGGTATTTGTTTCATTTCTTTGTAACTTATAGATATTTGACTAAAACAGTCCTATTAATAAATTATGGAAACAACTTTCTGTGACATATGTGCATAAATACACGCGCGTTCATGTGACGAGGCCAGCCTCAATTTATTAGAAACACAAGAGACACGATTATTATTATTATTATTATTATTATTATTATTATTATTATTATCTCCTATTTGTTATTATTTTGACAAAGTCTTTTCTTGGGAAATTACAAAACAAACATTGTGACAATAATAATTAACCATAAATGTTATTATTATTTATTTTCACCTTATTTAACTTTGATAAATCACCGCTCGGCCTTTAGGTGCTTTTTGGTTCTTCTTTTGCGTGCGCGTGTGTGCGCGTGGGTCTTACGGCGCTTTAACATCAAACACTCGCGGCTCAAAGCGCGCGGCTTTATCATAAAATCCCTGATTAAACATGAAATGTGCGCGCGGCCTTCAGCTGCTTCATCAATAATCGATCAGGGGCATTGAAAAGAAATTGACAGTGTCAGATTAAACATTTTATTATCAATGTTTTTAATCGGATTGGGCCTATAATCTGTCTGGTTTAATTGAAAGTGTTTTTTTTTAATCGGATCAGTTTTTTCTCTGCTGCAGGTTAAACAACCTTCATCATCATCATCATCCTCAGCTGCGGCCACTAAACAGTAAATGATACGGTTTCTATAGCAACGGATGTATAGACAGGTGATTTTTTTAAAAGGGGGGATTGAGCTGTTTGTTGTCATGATTGTGTCAATCAAAAGAAAAATGAGCCCGACCTGAAAATAAAACAATTTCTGTTCTGGAAATAAATAAAAACAACCCCCCCACCCCCACCCCCACACACACACACACACACCGATTTAATCATGAGCCCCATTCTTAACTTAGTTTCCCTCAAAGTTTTATTTGGTAACTTTCATGTGCAGTTTAACGACGTTTGAAAAGTTTTATTTGTTTATTTATTATTTAAATCTCTGCGTTCACCGCAGACACAAACATATGACGTCACTTTCCCCCAAAAGTGAAGCTGAAAACAGATTTCCTTTAAAGAAACCCCGAAATGGAAATAAGTCAAGCTGCGTCCATCCAGCTCATGTTTAAATAAGTCGAGCTGCGTCCATCCAGTCATGTTTAAATAAGTCGAGCTGCGTCCATCCAGTCATGTTTAAATAAGTCGAGCTGCGTCCATCCAGCTCATGTTTAAATAAGTCGAGCTGCGTCCATCCAGCTCATGTTTAAATAAGTCGAGCTGCGTCCATCCAGCTCATGTTTGGCTTCCTTTGACATTTACTCCTCCTTCATCATCATCATCTTCACCATCATCATCATCATGTAGCATTCCCATCTTCTTTTTATTTACTGAGCATGTTCAGTCTCTGTTGTTGACTCGGCCTGCAGAACAACTGGGTCAGCCGCCAGTTGTTTACTTATTTATTCACAATAAAGTCAACATAAGCCCCTCCCCCTTTTGCGCATCTCTAAAACAAAACAAAAACAAAACAACACCGCGACTATTTCCTCGCAAAAACTAAAAATGTACGGGTTTTTAAATGTTATTACGATTAGCCTATTATTGTTTATTTGTAAAATTAATATTGATTTATTTATGGGCTCTTTCCTCCACATTTTGCGCACGAACAAACAAACAAACAAAAAGATGGGACCGTAACTCATTTCTTGTGTTAAAATTAAACAAGTCGACGCTTTAAAATGTGATTTATTTCTTATTAATTCCAGCCCGTTTCTTCAGTGTAAACTAAAAAAAGTATTTTATTGTTGTTGTTGTTGTGGCAGAGAGTCGGTGCTGGAGGGTCCACGTGTGTGTGTCCACGTGTGTCCACGTGTGTGTGTCCACGTGTGTCCACGTGTGTGTGTCCACATGTGTCCACATGTGTCTCGTGCAGACCTTCTCCTCAGAGATCTTCAGGCAGCATCTTCTCCTCGGTGTTCTGCAGGTTTTGTTCGGCAGAGAAGAGAGAACTTTGGGTGACATTAGCATGTGTTTGGCGCCGTGTGTGGTCTTTGTGCGCAGCTTGTCGCTGTGGAAAATGACTTGCTGGAAGCGCGTGCGCTCTCATCGCGCTCCTTTGTAACAAACCACAGCGCAGCTCCCCAAGTCCTCGTGGCTTTATGGTGGGCTGTCTCCATGAACCCCGAGCAATTAGTGTCTAATCTCAGGGTGATCATCTTTGAGTTGGAGACTTGTGCTGCGCGTGATTCTCCTCTGCAGCTCCAGGACTGCTCGCACGAGACCAACGGATCACAAACTCCTCCTTAGATCAAGAAAACCGATTGAAAACCAAACTGTCAAAGCGGCAACAAACGGTACGTTTTTTCATTATAATGCCCCCCCCCCATGTTTAAAAATGTACATTAAAATAACTGAAGATCATTTGGATTTTTTCTTTATATGATGCTCAAAAACAATTTGTCCATAAATTAGTTGTTCAATTAGTTCAAAATAAAACGCAACCTTCACAGCCAGTCTTTAAACGAACTAATCTACTGATAAATTTGACAAGTATCAAAGAGCTCTCCTGCTCAGATGAGAGCCCTGAGTGTAATAAAACATCAGCATGTCCTTTAAACACAGACTGTAAGTTTCACAGTGGGTTCTTCATCACAGACTGTAAGTTTCACAGTGGGTTCTTCATCACAGACTGTAAGTTTCAGAGTGGGTTCTTCAT